CAGAACTTTGACAGCTAGCTGAGGGAAGAAAAGAGATCTGAAAGAGCAGTGGGGTAGGAAAGGGAAGCTGTCACAAGGCCAAAATGAATTAAAAAGGAATGAGGYTGAGAGGAGTTGAGAGGAGAAATTTAATTTGTCACTTCTTGGATGAAAAACACAATCTCTTTGGAAAGGAAAAATACATTTTAGTTGTTTTTATCATCTTGGTGCCTAAGAGTAGGCCTCTTTTTATGGCTCAGGTTGGTCTGCAGAAATCCCCTTCTCTTGAGGGATGCTGGGGAGAGGACAGATCCTTTTCACTCCACCCAGCTTTGGCGGTGTGATCCCATTCATTTCAGCAGGCAGTTCTGCTGCAGTCAAGCACAGCAAAGCTAATTGCTCTGCTTGGCACCCCAGTTGTCTTTCTCTCTGAGAGAAATATCTAAATACCTGAACAACACCTGTAGCAGAGCTGCTTCTCGTTCCCTCTCATTCCTCTCTCTCTCTAAGCATATTACTGTAAGTTAGTGTTTGTTTTCTCAGATAAATAAATAGCTTTGTCTTATTCCCTGGAGTGATGTTAGTCAGAATTTATATTGTTGCTACATGTGCTGTTTCTCCTATATGTGTGCTTGCCAGGTACTATTTACTGTAGAAGCCCATGCATACATTTAAAACCTGTATGAAAATGCTTCTAATTTCCAAGCCTGTGATTCCATTCAAAAAAGAAGATAACACAAAAAAAACAGTGAGGGTAAGCATGCAAGATTGTTGGAGGCTAATTACTAAGAAATAGCTTCTGCTGTTAGCTGAACAAAACCACTCTGTGTTTCTGAGTTTCTGCTGTGTTTCTTACCTRCTCTGCCTCGTTATCTCTTTCCTGGCATTCCTGTAGAACAGCTGTGCTCACACTATTTGTTTTCTCTGTACTGTCACTGAAGAATGGCAAGGTTGCTTTTGTGAAAACCATGTCTAACATACATTAGTATATTTAGAAATCTTTATTCTATGATGCACCTGGATTTAAAGGCTTGGAAAGTACATTGGTTTAATTGCGTTGAAGACTGCTGTCTACCTATAGATCTTAGATGGGATTATCTGTTTAGAACCAACAGGTTTAGCTCCTTATCAGAAGTAGGATGATAGTTGATATAGAAAATAGGACAATAATGACAGTCAATCACACAGGTCAGAAGAAGTCAAGCAAAGATAACATAAATAATAAATAAGATTTTTAAACTGAGATTTTAAGGTCTAACATCAAAAGTTCAGAAGAAGAGTGAAATAGTATTGTTATTGAATGAAAATAAATCTAACTTTTGTATTTGCTCTATGTAAAGGAGACTCTTACAAGAACACCATGTCAGAGAGCTAGAGCTATATGCAGATCCTGTCTCATCTGGAGAAATTAAAAAAAGAGATCCATGTTTTTTATGACACTGCAACCTCAAGGAAGATCCCACTGGGAGAGGACTATAATTTCTGAGAAGAGAACTCTGAAAAAAAAAAGACTCATATTGCAGATTTGGAGTTGTAATTTCCTAGAGATTTCTAAGAGAAAAAGAATTCTGGTTCTGGTAAAAAGAATTCTGATTCTCCAAAATGCAGCTCTGGCAGCTCAGAAAGTTAACAAAGTTACAGAAGTAATACAGCTTCTTGATAAAACATGAATTTTTAGCCTTCATAGAATTATCAAAATTAGGCACTTAGTTATTTGTATAACAAAGGTTGCTACAGAATTTGCAAACATGCAAAAATTTCCTGTCTGAAGAGAGCAGGATCAGTGCTTCTGCTAGAAATACTATGCACATTGCTGTCATGGAACTGAATTCCCTCTCCTTTCTTAAGCTTAGGCAGAAACACAAACTCCAGCATTGGATCTTCTGGGCAGCTTGGAAGTAAAATCCTCAACTGCCATCTTACAGCTTTGTAGAGGTAGCTGTAAAATCATAGTCTCCCAAGGAAATTGTGCTGATGTCACTTTTTTGAGACGGCATGGCTCAGGTTGATAGCTCACATTTCACAGTGCCTGGCCACTTACTCTCTTGATGCTAACTGATATTGTAGGTACAAAGATTTTGGAAGGTGCAATGAAAAAGCATGAAGGAGCTCATGGATTTGGAGTCTGATACRGAGATTTGGATTCAATCCTGAGTCACAGATCAGGTACATTTCTACATAATGCAAAACACAGTTTAGCTGAGAAGCAACATCCTAGCTCCAATGTGCTTTCTCAACACCTGAACTACTGGTTTGTGAATTCACACACATTATAACTTAGCTCTACTTCAGGTCCAGAGTCTATAGGACAGAAGACCTTAGAAATATTTTGAGTATCTTTGATTATTACTTTTCTTTCTTTCCTGAGGAGCATTAAAGAAATAGTTACTTACAAAATATTGTAACAAGCAGCAAAATAAAATGCAAGCAGCTCAAATAGTTAAAGCTGTGGAGCCAAACCCTAACAGCCTGGATTATTGTATTTCTCAATCTCAACCAGCCAAAATCCAACAGAGCCTGGTAAGAGCCAGTACTCTTCAGAGAGGGAGCTTGTCTGCCTCTCTGCTGTTCCACATTTACCAAATTTCTTGATAGGGTTGGAGAGCAAGACCCTAAACAAGGGGAATACTAGTACAGAGCCCCTTTCCTCGCTCTCTGTGTATTTTTAATCCTCTTCCAAACTGGGGACAGACAGCTGTGAGGTCAGTTTGAACCACAGACTCTAGGGGATAGGTTGAATGATTCCTGTGCCCCTGGTATGATTATGAACACGGTGATGAACTGTTAGCATTTACATATAATATAGTCACGTTCCAGGTGCAAGACATAGCAATGGTGCAAGTACTAGAAATGAGGCTGTCCAAAACTGGTTCTATCCCTTATATTTGCTAACTCTGAGGGTTGTACTTGCATTGTGTTACAAAGACTTTGGCCAAACTCTTTTCTTCCCCAAGGAAGCTATGCACAGCTCCCTTACCCATCACAAAGTCCAAATCAGACTCACATTTCTGGACAGTGAGCCAGATTTCTGGCCCCAGGCCCAGCAGCTTTGCCTGACTGAAAAAAGCATATAGCAGCTTTGAAAATGCCCTAAAAAAACATACTGAAGATGAAGAAAGTGAGGAAAATGGCTTTTGCCCATCCTAAACACTCTTAGAAATAAGGGGAGATGGAAGTGCCAGAGCTGACCTGGGCTCCTACTAGTGCCAAGATAAAAGGAAAGATACCTCCCCTCTGGTCCTCGAATACCTAATCCATTGGTTTAATCTGGTTTTCCCATAGAAGGAGAAATTTAGGAGGTGAAAGCTGAGATCATTCTCTGATAAAGCAAAAACATCTGTTAATCCTGACTGCTGTCATGTCTGCATCCAGCAGCCAAGAAAACTTCATTTCTGCTCTGCATTATCACTAGGTGATACTTTGATCTGCAGGAAAAGTCTAGGGAAATGAGATTTATAGAGAACAGAGCTTTACTGGAGTGGATTAGAAGAATAGCTGCTCTAGCTATGCAGCGAGGTCCCTTGGCATCAGAGGTCCCCTGCTCTACTTTGTTATCAAATTAGATGTGTATGGTAATCACAGCTCAGAAAGGAAGGAATTTCTGTTAAGTCACTAGTCTGGAAATGGACGAGCAGAGGATAAGCAGATGGGAAAATCAGTTATTTTAAATTACAACATGTGAGGGTTTGGGTGTGTTTGGTGATCCTGACTGTCATTGCATGAAAATTCTGCATGGTGAAAGAGAACATTTAAAAATAAAACAAAGATCATGGTTTTCATAAAAAAAAAAAAAAAAAAGGAATAAAGCTCTTGTTATCCTATACATAGGGATTCAAACTGAGAGTTGGATATCTTGAGCAAATATAAAAAAATCCTAATTTAGAATGTCAGATGGCCCTATCTCAGAAGCAAATGGTGGAATCTGTAAAGATTCAGTTAAGGAGGTAACCAGTATCTTATCTTCCCTTTCTTGATTATAAGAACCACAGGCAAATATTTTCTTAAAATGAAGCATATTTTTATATTTCTTTTTTTTTTTTTTATCTCTCTTCCCAATTTTTTTTCCTCTAAATGGCATGAGATGGCATTAATTTTTCTGGGACTCATGGTCTAGTATGTTGATACTCCCCTCAATATTTCTAATCAGAAACATTTGTTATTGATGTCAGTGTGTGTTGATACGGTTACCAAGAACGTACAGCACAGAGAAAGCATATGATCATTTATTTTGGCTAAGTCCTGGATATCACGTTCTGAAAGGAAAAATGAAACGTTTTACAGTGGCATCTCTGATATCAATCAAATCAGAAGTGATGTGAGTAGGATTTTCTACCTAATATTGCTATAGTTACATAGTGTTACTCTTTCAAAATTCTTGAAATACATCTGTACACAAATGCAAACAACTGTGGATTCTGGAATGCAGAACACATATTGTTCAGGAGAATAATAATTTGGAAGCTTTCCTTGCAATTTGCTTTAATTATGCAGCTGTGAGAAGATCTGTAAAACATTTTAAGAATCAGCAAGAGAGAATTTAATTATATCATGCTGACAGTTCTTTTGCTCTCCATGCATAAAGTATTACGTGTTAAAATCCTTGATGTGATTAGTAGGAAATCATGATTAATGTCTTGAGATACTGTAAGAAAAGTAAATGTGGACACTCTTGGCTAAAAATGTGCCCTGATAAATTAGACAGCTATAATCCTGTTGTGGGAATGCCTAGGATAACAGAATATGGCACTTGACTTTGGAAGTGAAAAAAGCCTTATGAAACAAAAACAAAACTCAGATGTTTGATTGTGTAAGGGTGACATCATATAGACATTGGCTTCCCCCATGCATCCTTGCCTTACACATTTTATGCAGACCATACTGTTGGGGGTTAGCTGAAAACAGCTGCATTGCCTCAGATATTCCAGACAGCTGCTTCTCAAAACAATTAGCTAATGAGCTGGGAACTTAGTTGTGACTAAGTCATTTTTAGGGGATGTTTGTCTCTTTTTCAAAGCTCTGCTTCTTTCAGGATCATCAAGTGCAAAATTCATGGAAGACAGCAAATTTTATTGTTGATTGCATTATGGATTGTTACTTTATCCCTAACACATGATTTTACATTCTCAATATGTGTGTTGGTCTCCCTTCTACCGTGTTAAACACAGATGGGACTGTTCTGTGACCACAGCTCTTGGAGGTAAGTCATGCACATAATTAATAATAGTGCCACCCATCTAGAAATATCAGTGTCCCTATATTACAAATGACTGTCATGAGGGAAAAGTGATGTGCAGAAGGATGAAGTGGCTTGGAGAGGATCACTCAATTAAAAGTCTAAATTAATTTTGCCATGCAAAACTCCTGACCTCCACAGGTCCTGACCTCCTTCTGACTCTCCAGCTGATCTCTGGGTCATGCTGCATGGCATTAGAACTCAATACTATGTGCTTCCATTTAATACTGTGTAGCTTCCATTCATATGTGTCTATGTTAAAATTAAATAGAAGAAATAGAGTGATGTTGAGTCACCAAAGACTTCTGGACAGCTATGACAACTTGTGTTGGTCTTTCAAGAATGTATTCCATAATGGTTAAAAATAACCCCTTTGGACATCCTTTCACCCATGTTAAAGGCAAGACTAAATGAGGAGATGTGATTCAGACCGCAAAGTCATGAAGACAAATACACTTACAGACTAATTTAAAACATAACTCAAAAACCTGAAGTAAACACAGCTGCTTTTTGTCTCATTTGAAGAAGAACAAACAAAAACTTGTAGTAATTTCCTGATTTTATCTTTTGACTTTGACTCAAGTATATACTTGAGTAGAAATGCTATCAGGAACAACATTTAATGCAGATATTTTTATTTTTCTTTAACAACAGTTAAGGCATATAATTTCAGTTCTCTTAAAGTTATTTTCTAATTTTCTTTTTTTAACCTAGCTATACAAAGAACTTCTTCAGCTCCCTCATGGCATTTTGCTTACAAAATGTTCTGCAAACCACATGATGAAAATGTATATCATTTGGGGGAAATAATGAAACTGACCTTACTGTGTTTCCTTGTGAAATACTGCCAAAATCGTAAAAGTAATGATGATAAATATAAACTCAGAGTTTCTTAGCCAAGATTTTATAATGAAAAAACATCAAATTCCACAGAGATTGTATTTGACTGTGTAATTGCTTTCTAGAGATGCTGAAATAGAGCAGGTGGCGGGGAATAGAAATGCTTCAGTTTACCTCATTTGGGTGTGTGTTTATACAGGAAAGTACTCTTAATTTGGGTATATAAAAATTGTACAAGAGGTAAAAGACACCTCTGTATCCATACATGAGGGTATAAAACTACAAAATACAAAAAAAATAGAGTAAAAGAGATTTTTTCTTTTAAAAATGTAAAGCTCTAGCCCTAAAACTAGAACATCCTTAGAAAATCCCAACTTTGAAGAATAGGTTTAGCCATTTCCATCTTTACATCCCAAAAAGAACTATTCAGTGATTACAGTCAACGTGACAATTAATGCACACAAACCACTGCTTTTTTTCCAGTATTTGCATGCCAGGCATTTAAACCTAAATTAGCTGTTACATTTGAGACTGTCTGCACAGGAAGAAAACAGGAGTTGTAGGCAGCAACCCACCAGTGACCTATCAGATTTCACTGAAACTGCTGTGTGGGATTAAGCAGAAACATCGGAAAAAATAGAATGGAAAATCTATGCATCTTTGTGCCCTGAGGCAATGTCTGATAGCTAATTCAAGCCTTCTTAAACTCATATAGGCACTGTGGTATCGTCTGCAAATTGTGATTTTGGTGACGATCTGGAGTTCCACAGTTGCCAGGCTTTTGAAAGGCAGAGAAAGTTTCTGATATTAACAGCTGACTTGATAACTGCAGTTTTGATGAGTTCTGTATCGTTTCATTTTCATGGTAAATGTGTAGGTGGGGTGGATGTTTCCAGGGGTGGTGTCTCTATGCCGTGCCCAGCAATAATCATGTAGCAGCAGAAAAAACAAAGCCAAGCTCTCCTGCCAGCCCTCTTCCCTTCATGCTGAAGGCAAAGCACAACAAAACCCTGCCTGTGCTTCTCACAGCCTGGATATAATTTAAATTTTTTTTTTATTATTATTATCTCACATTTTAGTTTTCTTTCAACCTCACCCCTCACAGTAAGTGTTAGATATTGGATAAAGCTGTGACGTAAAGCTACAACTAGTGGCAAGTCTAGAAATGAAGAACTATCACAGTCCTGGTAAGGTGCTCATTTGCTTTTGTCAGTTTTATATTGCCAGGATACCTTCATCTCCTTTTCTTGTTTTCCCTATCTTCTCAGTGATGTTTAACTCTCCTTGTCACTCACAGAGACTCCCACATCCACTTGTTTTCTGTATTTCTCGATAATTTTAATGAGTCGTGGAACTGAATCAAAATCAAATGTCTGTCTCGAGGGAACTGCAGATGCTCTTTAATGGATTTTGATTGTTGAACTCTGGATGCGCTCATCAGTTTCCACTGCCTATTTAAAACAAAGAGAAGTACAACAGCACACAACCTCCCCTTCACTCGCTTTTTTTTTTTTTTTTTTAATCTCTCTTGGGCTTGAAGAGCTGCAAGAAAACTGCGAGAAACGAGCTACAGTGCAGGCAGCTATAACTTCCATCTGCAACAACAATTTCCAATAACAGGTAACATATATTAAGAAGTTTAACTTTTTCATCTTATCACAGCAGAGATGGTATGAAGCCTCAAAATTTGGATTCTGGGGCAGTTTTGACTGGATCTATTTTCATATTAGGAAATGTTAGGAACAGAGAGAAAAGAATCGACTAGATCAGTCAGCACAGCCTTCTTCCAGTTCAAGCATTTTCCCTACAACACATTTTCTAGTGTAAAGTCTAATTTTAAGTGTGGTTTCTACCACTTCCTTATGCTGTCCTTTCATAGTAAAGTTGATCTCATTGTCAGGCAGTTTTTCCATATGTTCAAGTATTTGCTTCTCAGCTCTAACCTTTTACTCCTAATAAACTCCCTCATTCCATTATTTTTTAATAACCTCTCTTCTTACTACCTTCAATTATATGCAGATGATTTTGTTTCCCTGTAGTCAGAAACTTAATCAGTTTGCACATGCTGAACACATTACTACCTTCCAGTTTTTTTTTTGCAGAATGACTGCTCTCCATGTCACAAGGATTTTCTGAAAGAGTCCAGTCCCTTATATATGTGAACGAACTGGAGACATCAGTCAGAGCTGCTGGATGTTGCACCAAGAGACAGAGGGTGCTCTCTGAGGGACAGTAGGTCACGGGGCATCTACCCAAGAAAGAAGGAAAGCACAAAGAGAGAACAGAGAGACAGAGACAGAGAGAAAGAGAGAAAGGGAATTCATTCTCTTCTAGCATCTGGATGAGTCCGTCTGGGTATGGAGTGGCAGGGAAAAGAAATGGAGCTTTGCATTTATCACATGTCTACTTCTAACATGACAGGTGTTGAGCGTTTTGAAGAAACCACTCTGCACCACTTGCCTTCTAASAGAACTGGGAATAGCTGGAAGGGGTAAAGAGGGGCTCAATACACAGCAGATCTTTGTTTTATGGCAGACTTGTCCTTTGTGACCTATTGCCTTTGATATTTAGGCTTCCAGCACCTCGAAGAGCTAAGTCTTCTTTACTATTTTATTCTTCCGGTGTGGTTAGAATTGTAGACAAGTTTCATCTCATTAAGTACAAATTTTCCCATGCACTTTGCATGTCCTTACCATGAGAGAATTTACATCAAGTACTCTTGAGACTCCTAAAACCCTCCTTCAGCTGCCACCTTACCTAATAGACATATAATTTCCACTGCCAAAGTACATCTGGTCCTTGACAGCAATAATCAATATGTTTCTGTTTATGTTGTCAAGGAGACTGGTATTACAGATATTTTTCTGAGTATTTGGACTAAAGAAGGTTCTGGAGAAAGTAGTGGAGTTTCTCCTGGCCTTCTCATATTTCAGTGTTGAGAGGACGTTTATCYAAGACTTGATTCAATTTCTTTTTTGCTTGTTGAGATTTGAACCAACTTCACCTCCCCACTAGGTGTAGCACTGAGAAAAGACCTTTCCTGCACTAATTAATGCTACTTACACTATGTATAAAATGCTTTAATACTTAAGCAAGGGGGAATGGAACCCAACTTGCCTCCTTTAACTTCAAGGTYATCTTTCCTTATCACTTCCCAAGAAAATATTATAACCACTAAGCCCTTAGATATCAGGGTTTCATTTTGCAGAAAAAAAAAAGATTTATTTCAAACAGCTAATTCCAAGAATTAGCTCCAAAAAAAGCTTCTAGGGATACTGAGGATAGGGATACTCCTAGATTTTCCTGTTCCTGGGGCAAACAGTGATACTTTGACACAGCTCTTTAGTGCTGGCATTTCCTACCAGGTAGCTCACTATCCCAGACTCTCTTGCTCTTAAGTGCCTGAAAGGCAACCTAAGTGCTTGAGCATTATATGGAAATATGCTTTATTCAGCTTATATATTTCACTTTTCAACAAGACACAAAACTAAAATGAAGCGTATGTTTCATTACTCCTAAATGAATGTCCTAAGCTACAGGGTCACACTCTCACTCTCTGCCTTCTTGTTCAGTGAATTTTAGAATGATTTTATGCACAGCTTCAGTGGGAAGACTGAGGAGGGTTCTTACTTTGGGTTAGCTGGGACTTAGCTATGGCTGCTTTTGAGTCTGTGTGCTTCCATGTGTTGGGATTTATCCTGTACAGAAATGTTCTGAACAGAAGTTTCCTTTCTTTTCTTTCTCTGTGGGCTATGTTTAAATAAAGAATTGTGCCTGCGCTCAGCTTTAGCAGCAGGTTCTGTTTTTTTAAGGAGATTTTCCTTGCAGTAAAAGGCACTCAAGCACCAGAGAGCAAGACAAAGACACCCTTCTACTTAGCATTTTCCCGTAAATACCTTCCTCCCCAAGGGAGTGGAATTTTATTATTTCTTTTAGAATCTACATAATTCTCCCCTAGCGCCACAGAGGGAGGCCTCAGTGCTTGGTCCTCTGTTGTGGGTTGTAATCTAGCACAGTAAAGCACGTAGGCCCATCCAAACATGGATCCTGGGCATTCCCACTGAGTAAACTCAGGGAAATGTACCTCAGGGAAATCATTTTCATTTGTTTTTAAGTGCATCAAATCTAGATTTATGTAAGGGAGTATAGAGAATATAAGCTTTATACTGATATTCTTTTTTTCCTAATATAAATGTTTCAAAAAATGGAAGCATCTGAGCTAAAACACAGCTATAGACTTTTTAATATATATTTTGACAAATGTTTCTTGTTCACAAAATATTTTTATTTAAATATATATTTGTTCTGTATTTTACATCACCATGACTCCTTGGTACAGACCACGTGCTCTTTTTGTTTTATGGAAGTTAGCATAGCAGTTTTAGACAGTAATTATAGTAATGGAAGACATTAAGAAACTTAACCAAGAGATAGGTGAAAAGGGCTATCTAGATGATTTGTATTAATACACTTCTGTTCATGGCATATCCCTGTAGATGATTGTTTTTTGTAATACAACAAAGAATAAAATGAAAATAGAGTATAACCACTTGCATTGTTTTGAAACATAATATGTGATTGCAAAAGAAACCAATGTGGAATCACAAGGGAAATGACATTGCCAAAGAAGCTGAAGTATCTCCAGTCTTAATCCATCTACCAATGTAATTAGGCCTCATGTGTATTTTCTGAGCTGCATCTTCAATACCGCATGTTAATCCAGAGGCTTGACTTTAATGTTAAGCTAAAAGAAATGTTGAGCTACTAGCTGACGCTAATTGGAGTTTGTCATATTCAAGAGGACAATAAACTTATCCGTTTCAGGGGCACCATGTATCAAAGCCTTAAGATAGGATTTAAATACTCCGAGGGTGGTGGCAAGGTCTGGAAGTTGTTCAGTGTAGCCTGAGCTGCTTTTTTTTCTGTTAAACTAAGGCTGGGCTGTTCAGTCATGAATGAGAACAATAGTGGCTTTTAAAAGAATGCAACTGGGAAGGTTGGCTTTTATTGGCAGTTTGTGTAAGGTCTCTGCTTCCAGAGTGCTGTCAGATGCAAGTCTGGAGTGATTGAGGAGCTGGACCAGCTCTTTTGTGTTACATAAATGCAGATTTGGTCTTGCAGTGTGCAGACCATAGTGGCACCAKCCCAGCAATAATCAAAGACAGACGGAGAAGAGAGTCTCCTCTAAAAAGAGCACTATAAAAACTGAATTATAAGCCAGAATGCACAGATTCCATTTGGCTGCATGGAAAAGCCCACTGTTTCTCTGTTGTTGCAGTAAGGTTTTAATTAAACGTAGGTTCTGGTTATAAATTGTATGGCAGCTGCATCTGGATGGATTCTTAACACTTAAGTAAATGACTTAGAAGTAAGGGTTTCCCAAGATTGCAGAAGGAATTTTGTCTTGACTAATTTGGAGCTTCTGTAAAACCAAGAATTAAAAAGAAATGTTCAGTAATTCATTGACATTTGTTGACCAAAAATAAGGCTAAATCTGCTCAATCATTTAATGTCTCACTTAATGGAAAGACACAAATRTGTAGAAAGAAACAAATAGTTCCCAGAATAATGAAGCAAAAAGCATTGGCCCAGTCAAAGAACATTCAGATGCTCTACAGTAATATCCTGAAAAAGGAAGCCTGGCGGGCAGAATTTATAGTATTTTATTGTTATTTATRTCACCATTACCCCCAAGGGGACCCCATTTTGCTAAAGTTATTCAGGCCTCTACCCAAGTGCTTGTGACCTGCTCTGCACTTACCTCTTCTTGCAAAATAACATTCTGCAAGTAGGACACTTGAAAACATCAAATGCAAATTAAATTAGACTGGTCCATGCCAATTTTTTTAACAGAAATGACCGCTATGAAGACAATATAGTGGAGTAAAATAAAATAGAGAAGCAAAGATAGCATAGGGCAAACAAACTCATCCAGAAAATATTATTTCTGAATAGAAGGGATATTTAGAGGAAATCTAAATTCTTTTGTGAATAGAAGAGATATTTAGATGATCTAAATAGGTTATGAGGTATTGTAAATTTTCTCATCTTGTCTGGGAACTTACAACTCAGTATTCAGAAAACTGTTCTTTCTGGGGGATGCTCTTTTCCCAAAGTGTGTTTTGGTAGTCTAGGATCTTTTTGTGCAGTAAATGCAGCAGTGGTACTTAGGATAGTAATAACCACACCATATCCCAGATGTACCTTCCCAACCCCACCACAGATATGTACTGAACTCTCTTTCTCTCCTAACGTGGCATCTTTATCTCTGCACAAGATTCTGAGGCTCCCACTTACCTTGTGAATTTCTTGTAAATGCAGTTATATGATGTTTCATTTTCTGCAAAAAGTGGGAGTATATTGCAGACCATAAAAATCCTTTTGTCCCATTGGGTTGAACACATTATACAGCATCAAGACATACAAAATACCTGTTATTTCTTGTACGTTTTCTAAAATCTTAGCATATGCAGCATACTTGTCAGATGAGGAAAAAAACTATGATTGTGTTGCATCTGACAAACAAAAGAGCCTATTAAATTATTTTCTTGTTTCTTCATTTGAAAAAGTTTGGATTATATTAAGTCCTCTTATTAATCATGTTTGTTTTCAGTGCAGCACAGTTACAAGTCCTGGTTAGATCCTGCTCTGCTATGTGTCATATAAACAGCCAATACAAAGATGGCCTCACCCTAGCCTCACCACACAGCCCACATTCATAATGGACAGATGAGTCCAGCCRCATAAAGGAAATGTGTAAACATGGAAAAAACGAAGAGAGAAAACAAATGAAATACACATAGGAGGCTGTTTCTCCACAGGCATTAGCTTTGAGCCTTTRTTTGTCATTATTTATTATTCATTGACTCAGTCATGGGTTATAGACCAGTAACTTGTTTTGACTTTTTTATAATTTGATTCCTGATGTTTGTCTGATCTTATCTGAATGGGAGTTATGCAGTGCATAACAGCACCAAAAGACAGATCAGGAACAAGAAAAACAGGGCATATACATACCTTACAGTAAGAGTTTTCTGGAGTTTTTTTTTGTTGTTGTTGTTTTGTTTATTATTATTATTATTATTGACTTCACTCGATCTTCTACTGCATCTGTGGTCCAGCTACTATGTAGAATTATTTAACTTATTCCATCTTTAAGCGATGGGAGAGAAACAAAGAACATCTTGTGTCTGACACTGCCTAGGTACTTGCACAGTGCTGAGAAAAGTCAGGTTCTGGCTCCTGACTCTGACTGAAGCCTGCCAGTTGTACTGTATTATAAAGGAGTAACAATTTAGTCCAATCCATGTGATGCTACTGCAGTATTTCGTGTCAGTCATGGTAGTTCACCCGTGTTTCCCTACACATGTCAATTAAACATTCATGCAAAGAAAGAATACTGATTTGTTTGACTTTTTTTGAAACACTTTTGAATACGGCAAACTTAGCATAGTCTTTCTGGCTGTTTCAGTTTTAGAGCATGTGAAGCCATCTGCATCTCATAATCCCACCCACTCCAAAAGAAGTAAAAATTACACTATTGTATACTATTTTCTTCCCACAAAAGTTCTCCTGAGTTTCCTCCCTATATAATTTGTATTTCTTTATGCATTGCTGGCTCTAATAATTTGTTTCACACTGTCTCAGAACATATATATCTATAGATATTCT